TACTACTACTACTACTACTACTACTACTACTACTACTACTACTACTATCTGTTGCTATACTACTACCACTACTACTACTACTACTAATACTATCCGTTACTATACTACTACTATTACTACTTGTTACTATACTACTACTACTACTATCTGTTACTATACTACTACAACTACTACTACTATTATATTATTACTATTACTATTATAATCTATTACTAGTATTAATGTTAAATACTAATGGTAAATAATAATAAATATTATTATGAATTATTATTATTAGCACATCAGTGGGGAGTAGTGGCGCAGAGGTTAAAGAAGGTGGTCCTGTGATAGGAAGATCGCCAGTTCAATCCCCGGTACCGACAACATCAAAAATGTGGGTGGGGTAGGTGAAGCACCCACAGTCCACACCTGCCCCCACCCTCATTCGTCCCACTCTGGGCCCTTGAGCAAGGCCCTTAACCCCCACCATCTGCTCCTCTGTGTGTCCTAGATAGCAGCTCTCTGCTCCACACAGAGGGCTGTGGTAGCTCGGTGGTTGCATCAGAAATGGCATCCGGCGTAAAAATAACTGTCAAGTCTTCGTGCGACTTAGTTCGCTGTGGCGACCCCTAAAATAGGGAGCAGCCGAAAGAAGAAGAAAAATGTATTAGCACATCAGTGTGTGTACCTTAGAGCTACAGTAAAATTTGTGTTGAATACTAAAACCTTTGGTATTTTTCTAACAGTGTTTTGTGTATTGTTTTGTCAGTCTAAGGAAAACGAGGAGATCCGGATATCTTTGGTTGAGCTGAGCAGCAGCAGCAGAAGCAGCAGCACCAGCAGCAGAAGCAGCAGCAGCAGCAGAAGCAGAAGCAGTAGCAGTAGCGGCAGTGATGGTGGCGGCAATGGAGATGGGGAGGACAACGATCTTGACAGAGACCGAGACGGAGAGGTGTGGTGTGTGCAGGATGGACGAGTGTACGAGCAGGGGGACGTCTGGGAGACCGACAGCTGCACCTCCTGCTCTTGTCAGGTCAGCGCTGAACCAACTTCATGTCAGAACAATCTGAGATATTCTCACAGTCTTCCAACAGAATGAAATATGTCATAAACAGAGCAGGCAGCAGGATTTACCATCATCTGTGTCAGACTGTTTGGATGAGAAATCTTTGACATAAATAAATTGTCAGGCGGTGGTGAGTAAGGGCCAAAGGATCCAGACTGAACATGAGGACCGATGACAGAAAATAATGAATTCAATAAGAAAAATAAAAGACTGGCGGGGCAGCAAATAAAACATAGAGAGATACCGAGAAACTAAACACAAAGAATCTCAAAAATAAAACCACGAAAACATGGACAAACATAAACTCAATAATAAAAGGAATAAAACCACGAAAACACAAAAAACTCAGGATCGTGACAGAAATGTAAAACACCTTTTTTTTTTTTTTTTTTTTTTAATTGTTTGTAGTTTCGATAACTTTAAACGACATAAAAGCCACATTTTATGAAAGCAAAGTTCTAAGCCGTGTTCTTGTTTTTATAACAAGTTAAATACCAAGCGTTTCTTGATCTCATGCAATATCACAGTCAAGATTAACTGGGGCAGACATCTTGAAATGTCTGGACTCCAAAAACCCACCAGTTATGGATGTACATCTAAATATTACTCTAGAAAAATTTAATTCAAATTTGTCCACCGTCTCATGGGATATTTTGTTAACAGACAGACAAATCAACACGCACAAATGTAGACACATGTAGAAATAAAATTAATGTCTTGGCTGTGGGCGATGTCTACCTTATTACATTCAGGAATAAGAGTGATGGCAATTTTCTCAGCTAGAATCCAAATAACCCTCTTTTCTAAAATGTCAAAACATCCCTTTCAACTCTGTTCACCGGGGAAGATTCACATGTTTCCAATGTGGGTTGATTTATTTCCAGAGCCTCTTTCTCTATGTTTTTTCTTTCTTCACTCTGATCCCTGAGTCTGTTTCTCTTTAGAAAACATCATTAGTTTTGTCAAGAATGCATTCGGGGAGCAGCCAGACTTTATTCCTGACAGCGGAGCATTCCTCTGGCACGAATCGAAACATCTGGCTCTAATAATGTAATATTTTCTCACTATTTAAATTGATCACACTGGCCCTGTCTTGTCCAGGACGGGAAGGTGGTGTGTCAGCTGGCATCGTGTCCCCCGGTGTCCTGCATCAATCCGGTCTTTGTCGATAGAAAATGCTGTCTCGTTTGTCTCGGTGAGTGAAATTTAGAGTTCAGAGTGCCAGATCAACATATTTCATAAATGTAAACCTTAAACATGGATATTTTGTGACTGTGTTTGAAGCCAATGAGGATGGCTGGTCCCCGTGGACTGAGTGGACACACTGCTCTGCAACCTGTGGACGTGGGGGGCAGCAACGGGGTCGATCTTGCAACGGCGTCATGCCCTCCTGCACCGGGCCCTCACTTCAAACCCGCAGCTGCATGCTGATGAAGTGCGACCGCAAGAGTGAGAAAGATGGTCAAATGGTTTTAAGTGAATTTTTGTGACCAGTGAAACCGAAAAAGTGTTGGGAGCAGGTGAAAGAGAGGCTGAAGAGGTGCAAGAATGCTCTGGAGCCAAGAGGAATGAAAATCAGTAGAAGAAAGATGGAATAAGTGTGGGAATGAGTGGGAAGCAGGTGTAATAGTGAATCTGCAATGAGTAGATGATTGAATAGTTAGTATCTTATCAGCTGTGATGTCAGTCACAGAGTATGGAGAAAAAAGCAAATCCTCCTTCAGGCTAAGCCTACGAGCCCAGGGGTGTCCAACGTTGGTCCTCGAGGACCACTATCTTGCATGTTTTAGATGTTTCTCTGCTTCAACACACCTGCTTTGAATCAATGGATGATTACCAGGCTTCTGCAGAACATTGAGGTAATTCAACCATTGAATCAGGTGTCGGAGCAGGGAAACCAATAAAACGTGCAGGATAGTGGCCCTCAAGGACTATGACTGGACACCCCTGGGCTAGGCAAACGAGGGCCTGCTTTGATTGTTTTACAGACTTATAAAACAACTCTGTCTTAAAAATGTCATACCAGCATGAAAAAGCACTACATTAGCTGAGAGAAGGAGAGCTGCAACAGTAAAAGGGAAGGTTTACGGGATGGTAGGGACACCTGGTATGATATACGGTTTGGATAATGTGGCACAAAGAAAAAGAGAGGAGGTGGTAGAGATGATGTTAAGATTTTCATTGGGAGACACCAAAAGGTAAATGGACTGTACTTATATAGCACCTTTCTATCTTATCAAGATACTCAAAGTGCTTTACACTACAATCTGTGCCCTCATTTACCCATTCATATAGGACTCTGCTATATCCATACAAAGAATAATTACTGCCTTATCACATTCATACACCAATGGGACACACTTTGGAGGCAATGAGGGGTTCAGTGTCTTGCCCAGGGACACTTTGGCATGTGACTGGCAAATCCCCAGCTCTTGCATTGGAGGACAACTGCTCTAACCACTCAGCCACAGCCGCCCTGGGGATAAGAAAGAAAGTAGTAAAGCAGAGGGACAACTCGAGTTGAGTAATTTGGAGACAAAGTTAAAGAGGTTAAGATGGTTCAAACGTGTGCAGAGGAGGAATAATGGATATACTGGACAAAGGGTGTTTAAGGAGAAGGAAAAAGAGGGCAGAGAAGGTTAATGAATGAAGTGAAGGAGGATATACAGAAGGTTGGTGAGACAGGAAGAAGCTATGGACAGAGTGAGGTGGAGGCAGATGATCTGCTCTGAAGACTTCTAAAAAGAGCATCTGAAAGAAGACATAAATGAAATACTTGTTCAGTCCAGTGGACTCTCACTGCCCTTTATACTCACACCTGATTTTAAGAATAGTGACCAGTTTGGGTTATAATGCTGATTGATATCACAATATTTAACAGTAACAATAGAATTGCATGCTTTCCTAATATTGTGCAACCCAAGACAGTCAGTTTCAGTGGTCTGTGTTTTATTCAGGTATACACGCACAACGCTAATTTAAAAAAATGTCCAATGTTTCAAATCCAGCTCGTGTTGATGGGAACTGGGGCCTTTGGTCTCCCTGGTCTGCGTGCACAACCACATGCGAAGACGGTTACACCACACGAGTTCGTCTGTGCAACAATCCTCCGCCACAGAAGGGGGGCAGGGGGTGCCTGAGCAGCGCCAGGGAGACACAATCGTGCAACAACACAATCTGCCCCAGTGAGTACTAATCCACATTTTAAATGCAGCATAGTATCTTTACAGGTAAAATGTTGTGTTTTGTGGGTAGTTGCAGGAGGGTGGGCAGCCTGGAGTGAATGGTCACAATGCTCCGTGACTTGTGGTGGGGGGCTAATAAGCCGCCAGCGAGAGTGTTCAAGCCCCGCCCCACAAAACGGCGGCAAACCTTGTGCCGGAGAAGCTGCGGACTATGAAACATGCAACAAACAACCGTGTCCTGTTGGTAAATCAAACCTCTTACTGTACGATCATCTTCATTTTAAAGGAAAATAATCTATAGTTGGCTAATCCTCAAATCCGTGGATAAATCCTTTTTTTATTTGGGGAAATGTGTTTTTTAAACAATGCAGGATTAAGTTCAATCCTGCGGTGTTTAGTCAATTAATGAGGCTTAACTCAGAGGGAAATAATTAAACCGCTTTGGAAAAAAACTTCAAGCTTCATCGACCCCGGTGTGTTCTGCTTTTGCACCGTTGCTAAACATGAAATCTTCCTATATTTTTCAGATATGTGCTTGCTTTCAAGTCCGTGCTTCCCCGGTGTGGAATGCACATCAAAAAGCGATGGATCTTGGGAATGTGGACGCTGTCCGTTGGGTTTGAAAGGGAACGGCACGCACTGTGAAGATGAAAATGAGGTAATTAGGCCAGACGGGATCAGATTAGATCAAATTTGCTATTGGGACATCTACTTAAAGCTAACAAACAAATGAAATAAAAGAAAGCAGAAATGGTCTGAAACAAATTTTTGGTGCCACGCATGGTCCTTACTGGCTGGCATCCCTTTTTGCTAAGCTGCACAGCAAATTCTTTTTTTTTTCTTGGCTGCCTTGGGTGTTTCGCTCTTTTGAGGTCTGGACTGTACAGATGTTTAGAGCAGGAGACATTGACAGCTACGGCAAGAAATATTTTCTTCATTTTTCATGAAAGCATATATTGTGGGCTTTGATGTATGCCATTTTTCTGTTGGAGAGGCCGCCCTTGTTTAACCTCAACATGTCAGATCGTAGTAAAAGTAAAATTATTTCTTGTGGACAGGGTTTTGGTCTGCAGCCTACAGTACCTGCTGCTCTACTTTCAGGGCGTTTCTTGTTACTGTAGACATAACATTTCTCACAAAAGTCGACTTGTTTATTAAAGTTAATCCCAAAAGTCAATTCCTAATTGTCAATTTTTCCACTTTTCCTGAAATGTACTTTATTTTCTTTCTTTTTTTTTCAGAACCTTGACCTATAACTGTCTCCATTATTAAAAGCCATTTCATAAGCCATAAATAAAGATCCAAGAAACGCTTGACTACCCTTTTATAGTCTACTGCTGTGGGATCATCAGTGGTTTTAAGTTCCTTATTGTTTTACTTGCTGGAACAAAGTTTGAGTTTTTGAAGAGATTCGAAGTTTGCGTCACCCATTTGTATTTCTGGTTGCCACAACTAATTATTAGTTTTTATTTAAGAAATTTAACCAATACGAGTTGGAATTGAGTGCGGCTATAGCTGGCAGCCATTCACAACACATACTTTAAGCCCTAACAGATCACGTAAGGTATTGCATGAGATCGTGCATACAGTAATCCCTCACTTATCGCGGGGGTTACATTCCAGACAGGCCGTGAAGTAGAAACGCTGTATTTATTTTAGTATTTATATATATTTTAAGTAGGGATGCACAATATTATCGGCATGGTATCGGCCGATATTAGCGATAAAGTTAAATATCGGACATGGGCCATTCCATCAAACCTAACACCCGTGATAAACGAGGGAACTCTGTTGCTGTCCTCAGTCTAAAACTGGGCGGGCGATATGCATTTCTTCAAGGAATGCTAGGCTTTTAATTATAGCCGTGACTGTGAACATAGCGCTAACAAGCTAGTTAAAATCTAAGGCTTTGTTGAAGGTTTGGATGCAAATATTTCAAGTTTGATGTGCTCAGTGTCTCATTGTCCATGTCCTCAGTGTGAAGTGGAGGGGGTGTGCTTTACAAAGTGCGTAAATACAGATCCCGGGTTCTACTGTCTGCCCTGCCCTCCTCGCTACAAAGGCTCGCAGCCGTTTGGCCTCGGACAACAGGAAGCCTCAAAAACTAGACAGGCAGGTGTATTTTTCTCAGCATGTTTCGGCACGCTTTAAACATAATTTAAACAACACACCGTATCCTCAAAGACATGTTCTGGTCGTAGGCGTGTGAACCACACAATCCTTGCAAAGACAACACACACACATGCAACCCGTTTGCAGAGTGTGTATACCTCGGCCTGGCGTCTGAGGTGCTGTTCAAATGTGTGTGCGCCGTTGGGTTCGCTGGTGATGGCTTCCTGTGTGGTGAGGACCCTGATCTGGATGGCTGGCCCAGCGAAAGGCTGCCATGCAAGCAGAACGCCACATATCACTGTGAAAAGGTTTAAAACCCATCAGAATTATGAGCTTTGTTCCCATTGGCTGGGACTGAAGTAATCTGTGTTATGATTGGCTGCAGGATAACTGCCCCAAGGTGCCAAACTCTGGACAGGAAGACCTGGACAAGGACGGACAGGGGGACGCATGTGATCCTGATGATGACAATGACAACATCATTGATGAGAGGGTGAGACTGAGTGTAATAATTGTGGAAATGCTGACTCAGCATTGTGTTTAGAGTTTTATTTAAAAAGTGTATTACTTTCATTTTATAGACCACGTTGATTTTTTTTCCACCACATATTTTGTGCTTTTTTTTAAACCATTCAGCTCAGTCAGTAATAGTCTTATAGTATTTAAATTTTTAGATTTTATTGATTATTAAACTTTATTTACAAAAAGTCCTTATATAATCTATATTGAGATCTTTTTAATTCCTTTAAAACACTGTCTCAAGTTTACCTGCTCCATTTTTATATTTTTATGCACCTTTAAGCTTTTAGCTGCTGTCTTGCTAATAATAGCTTTTAGCTTCTGTTTTGCTACATGTAACTATAATGACTGTTTTGTTTGTACAAACAGTTTTGCTCATTTTAGCTTCTTACCTTATGTTCTGCTTGTTTTAACTTGAACAATTCTCATTCATCAACACATTTTCAGCAAACTTTTTTTTTCTTTTGCTCGCCCCCCTTCCTTAGATAGAGAACTTTTACTAATTGGCATTTATAATGTATGTTAATATTTTTGTTCAGCGCCCTGAGGTAACTTATGTTGTGACTTGGCGTTATATAAATAAACTGAATTGAATTGAATTTTGCAAAAAAAAATTATTTCTTTACTTTTAATTTTGCTTATTTGGTTATTTTCCATTTTGATCTGCTTTCTATACACTTCCTGTGTTAATTTTAAATTGTTTTCACATGTTTCTGCTTATTTTCTGTTGTCTTTGTTCTGTAATCTGTGCCATTATCTAATCCCTGACTTTAAACAATCCTTTTGAAATTTATTTACCTACATTTAGACCATGACTTTGCTCCAGCACCACACTGAACAACTGAATTTACTTCATTTGACTGTGAATAAAAAGCCACATTTTTGCATCAGTGTGTGAATCTGGGTGTGTTTGTTTTGTGCAGGACAACTGCCCGCTGACGTACAACCCTCGGCAGTTTGATTCTGACGGGGACGGGGTTGGGGATCACTGTGACAACTGTCCATTTGACAGCAACCCGCAGCAGACTGATACCGATGACAACGGAGAAGGAGATGCCTGCAGCATCGACATCGATGGGGACGGTACGAGATAAACATTTTTACCAAGCTTCAAACACGAAGTTATTAAAGCAACTAATTTACACCTATTAAAACAACAAAGTCCATGCTCAATAATCCAGGTATACAATCCAACACTTTTCAGTCAGGTCATCTGGACAGGTTCTTTTTTTGTGCTGAAACGTTTCACCTTCCATCCAGAAGGCTTCATCAGTCATGGAAACACACAACACAAAACTGATTCTTCCCCCAACAGCTTACTCCAAAGTGGAACAAACCAGTTATGTTGGTGCTAAGATGGTGTCTTTGGCACACCCCCTCCTTTATTGCCGGCCCTCTTCCTTGTTGACAGTTGTGTCAAACTGATTGAAAACCAACAAAGTCCATGCTCAATAATCCAGGTATACAATCCAACAATTGAGCAATATTGAGCATGGACATTTTTGGTTTTGAACCAGTTTGACATGACTGTCAACGAGGAAGAGGGCTGGCATCAGAGGAGGGGGCGTGCCAAAGAGACCATCTTAGCACCAACATAACTGGTTTGTTCCACTTTGGAGTAAGCTGTTGGGGGAAGAATCAGTTGTGTGTTGTGTGTTTCCATGACTGATGAAGCCTTCCGGATGGAAGGTGAAACGTTTCAGCACAAAAAGAAACTGTCCAGATGACCTGACTGAAAATTGTTGGAAATCTATAGATTCACTTTTTCAGAAAGTTGGATTGTCCATAATAAAATTATATTTATTTAGAAATATTCCATATTTCATCCAAAAGTGGACAATCTACCACATTTATTTTACCTGTATTTTTTTTTTTTTTTTTTTACGGATTCACTTATTCTGCAAAAAAAGAAAAAAAGGACTGGGTATTAAAACAAAATGAAAAGTAAAACTTCCAAGAGAAACTGAGATTTTTTTTTAAATAACCCAGTAAAACTACATATGCAAATTATTCAACAGAGAAAGAACATTTATCAATGTTAAAGCAATATTTAATGTGCAAATTATCCATAAAATGTGAAAACAATGTGAATAAATTATAGGAACACGACACAAATAGTATTATTTGTTTGGATTTCAGGCCTTCAGGTGGCACTAATTTAAAAACACACATGAATCTGATCACTACAATCACCTCTGTAAGCATTGGTCAGTGTGTTCATGACTGAACACTAAAAGTTCATCAGAAAATTAAAAAACAAAGTTACAGAGAAGCTTTGATACTTAAAAATCTGATGGTCTGAATGGAAACTATGGGGAAAATATGTTTTAGAAATAAATTTGGGCCGTGCTGATAAGACAATGCCAAGCCACCATTGCACGTAGATTATAACAGTACGGTTCTGTAGTATAAAGAGTACGGCTATATAGTATTGTATAGTACAGTATGGTGGACCTGCTCACCAGCAAACTGGTTGGTCCACTATGTGGGTGTGCTACTTGTGGGACTCAGTTTGTTTGTGGCTCCTTGGACTGATGAAGTCCTATGGATGAAGGATGAACATCTCAAAAAAACTAAAGAAGCTGTCCAGACGACCTGACTGAACTTTGTTGGGTTTTAAAAAAATGTTTTTTTTTTTAAGGGAACAAAGTGATAATGGTGTTTTTGTTGTTTTGTTGGCCTGAATATGAAAATAGCATTATATATTTTAGTTTTGACACAATTGACCAAATATCTCCATTTAAGATGCAACTGAAATATTTTGAAAATCACTTTTGCAGGGAGACAACTATTTTCTGAATGATGTGATTAATTTAAAGAGATCTGTAAATTTTTTTTAAGGTATTTTAGAGTGACAGCTAGCATCTGCAGACAAATAGATTTAGATCTGAATCAGCTGTTTGGAAAGAAACCAGTATAAACTGCTTTTTCCCATCAAGCTGAACAGTTAATGTTAAACTCTTCAAACAGGAATCTGAATCAAATTGGAAAGTAAGAGAGGAGCTCAAAATGACGTTTACTGACCTGAAATATGGAATGAATTAACCAAACATGGTTTTGATTTATACTGATAGACGTATCAGGTTTTTGTGTGGAACATAAGACATGTCTGAGTGTGTGTCTGTGTGTGTTTGCTTCTTTTCCCTTAGAAAAACTGAACGAGCATGACAACTGTCCTTTTGTGTACAACACTGACCAGCGGGACACCGACCTGGACGGTGTTGGAGACCAATGCGACAACTGTCCTCTTCTTCACAACCCGCTGCAGGTTCCCGAAAAATCTCCCAAAGCTCCTAAAAACGTCAAAAGTTGTGATTTAACCAGCGCGATGTACGACAATGCAACGTGTGGTGTGTGTTTGCAGCTCGACTCTGACAGCGACCTGGTGGGGGACATGTGTGACGACAACGAGGACATCGATGAGGACGGACACCAAAACTCCCTGGACAACTGTCCATACATCGCCAATAGCAACCAGGCTGACCATGACAAAGATGGAAGGGGGGATGCTTGTGACCATGACGATGACAATGACGGTATCCCTGACGACCGGGACAACTGCAGACTGGTCCCCAACAGAGACCAGCTGGACTCAGATGGTCAGTTCTGGAAACAGTTTCTGGCTCTCTGTTGTGTATTGACTATTTAAGTTATCCTTCATCATATAGGACAGAATTTTTACCTGACCTTGTCCAGTTCTTTCCTTAGGAATAAACCCATATAATGCAGTTACATGCTCTCCTTTGATTCCTCTAACTCCCAGGTGATGGCAGTGGAGATGCATGCTTTGATGATTTTGACAATGACAGCATTCCAGACGCACTGGATCCCTGTCCTATGAACCAGGACATCAGGTCTACAGACTTCAGGAAGTTTCAGGGTGTTCTGTTGGACCCTAAAGGCACCACGCAGTCTGACCCCTTCTGGGTGGTCCGCAGTCAAGGGACAGAGCTGATGCAGACAGCCAACTCCGACCCTGGAATTGCTTTAGGTGAGAATAAAAGCAAGTTTTACAGAATAATAATAATTATTTTAACAACCAAACATTTCTTTGGTGAAACAGGATATGACCAGTTCAGCTCTGTAGACTTCAGCGTGACATTCTATGTGAACACAAACCGAGACGATGACTATGCGGGGGTTGTGTTTGCCTATCAGTCCAGTCGACGCTTCTACGTTGTCATGTGGAAACAGGTGAGGCTTCCATGAATATTGGAACTAGGCCTGTCACGATAACAAATTTTGCTGGGCAATTGTCTCAGAAATTATTGCGATAAACGATAATATTGTTTGAAATTTGACAATAATTAGTAATTATTGTCAATTTTAAAAAGAAATGTTGGTTAATTTGTTTTGAGTGTAGTACCTCTTTTTGACCATTGGATGGCAGTATAAGACGGTTTGAAATGAAAGATAGATAGTGAGGGAGCGAACAGCGGGTCTCTTTAAGCAAAATGGGAAGGAGGCCCCTTGACGTGACATGGGCCGTCTCTCTTTGGTTCTCAAAATGGCGGGCACTCTGTGGTTTGAGCTCTTTAGCATAGCATTTTTTACATAAAGCTTTTAATAACAAATCAGTAAACAAGTTCTCAGCTTCTTTTTGCAGAGAAAAACAACTTTTTACACGAAGGCACGAGTTTCAACCGTGAATTTTGGATCTTCGACAAGACGGAGTTTTTTTTTCCCAAGGTCGGTCTGTTAGCTTAGCTCGTAGCTTAGCTTCTCAGCTTAGCTGCTTTTAACGATCTAAAAATGCGATTTTGGACGGTTAAAACAGATTTTAAAGAGAAAAGTGAAAGGGAGGAATCAATGAAGAGCACTGGCGTTGAGCCTTTTGTCATCCAGTGTCTTCTGTAAAAATAGAGAGATACGAAGAAAAGATAAAGGCGATAAAGGAAAATGAGTTTGATAATTTTCATTTATCATGCGATTAATTGATTTATTGTTTATTGCGACAGACCTAATTGGAACATTCTTTTTACAAACTCCACTAAAACTGAGAGGTATTTTCTATTATTTGGCCCATAAAACAATGTTTGTACCAATACTTGTGATATTCAGCCACTACCACATACAATTTTAGCTAAGAGACAACAGTTTACCCCTACAGGTCATGCCAAGTTTTAGAGCACAAATGCTGTAGAATGTGTTATACCTAAAGTACGTGGATAATTATCAGCTACTACCATACTAAAGTTTACCTCAATGTCTGTAAAACTGACTGACTTATTGACATTTTTGCATTTTTTAAGACTAATTGGCTGTGCTAGCCATCTTGAATTGGTCCAAAAGTTAACTAGTTGTAGATGTCAACCAAATGATCACTTGCTGAAAGTTTCATTAAAATGCACTCAAGTGGTTTACGAGTTATTTTTCTGACTAACAGAACTAATTCCGCCAGTTAATGGCAAAATTTATAAAATAGATCTTGCTCAGTTAGCACCTAAAGTATAAGTTGAGGATGAAACTCAACTTGTTCCACACCAAAATTTAACTTAACATATGTAAAACTGACTGAGTTAGTCATTTTTGGTTGGCTAAAGCTGAATTGCTGTGGTAGCCATCTTTAATTGGGCTGACTCTAAAAGTTAATCGCTTGTAAAGACTAGAACCTGACTAATTTGGAAACTTTGGCTCTCGCCAATACCAATATTGGGAGGGTTGGCTAATGCCAATATTGGCTGATTTTTATTTTTTTTTTTGCTTTGTCCACCCCCAGGAATCTAAGCAATCGGCTACTTTGAAGTCTTGAAACGGTCTTCCTAACAAGTGTTCACATTTTCCATCCTCCTCCTTTAGTTTTAGCAGCTTGGCTTCCTGTTCATTTTCGTATTGATACTAAATTCTTTTACTTACTTTTAAAGTTTTAAATAGTTTGGCACACAGTTATTTGATGGAACTTTTTGGCTTTTATAACCCTAACAGAGCACTGAACCTCCAGTCGGATGCTCTTAGTGCAGCCGAGGGCTAAATTAAAGCGCAGCGGGGTTCGGACTGTTGCAGCGGCAGAGCCCAGACTCTGGAACAATCCGCCCGTTGATATGTGTTCTGCGGAGTCTGTAGTCAAGTCTGTATTTTAAATCACGCCTGAAAACTCACTTTTCACAATTCAAGTTCGGTTTGAGCTCCATCAGACATTTGACGCTGTTATATTTTCTTGTTTTAGGTTATTTTTAGCCAGTTTTATTATATTTGTGGATTTTTTAAATGTTTTATCTCTTGGTTTTCCCGTTTGTTCTTAACGTCCTCGTGAAGCACTTTGGTCAATGCTGTTATTTTTAACGTGCTATATAAATAAAATTGAGGTTAATGACATTTTGGACATTTTGACGTGAAATGGCAATGCTTACAACCATAATTTTCTTTGGCATGCACCAGACAAATGAACCTTCCTTTGCTCTGTTCTCCTGTGAGAGCAGGTGTCCCAGGCTTACTGGGAGAAAAGACCCTCCAAGGCTTTTGCCACTGCAGGCCTTTCCATCAAACTGGTCCACTCCAGCACCGGACCAGGGGAGTATCTCCGCAACGCACTTTGGCACACCGGAAACACTAGACACCAGGTACAGAACAACCTCCATCTCGAATTTGTTAAATTTTTATAATAAAGACTTCACATCTTCTGTCCCGTCTGTGTCGGTCTCAGGTCAGAACCTTGTGGCATGACCCAAATGAAATTGGCTGGAAGGACTACACCGCATACCGCATGCATCTTATACACCGACCCAAAACGGGCTTCATCAGGTACAGTGGAAGTTATTATAGACCACTTTATGTACGTCTGTCTGTTAGCAAAATATCTCGACTCATTGGATTTGAGGAAACTTTCAGGAAATAATGATTAGATGTACATCTACAAATATTTAGCTTTGGTAATCAATTCAATTCAAGATGGCCACTACAGCTAACTGACATTGGACAACACAAAAATGGCTATAACATGCAATTTTATAGAAACTGAGCTAAAATTGAACATGGTAGCAGCTGAGAGTCGATCACCATGCACAATTTGAGTGTTAGATCTGGTGATATTGTATGAAACCACACAATGTTGTTTGACAGCGGACTAAAACAGCTATTTCTCATCATACGATGATTTTAGTTTAAAACTCTGAATGCACAGTATAGGTTCCTTCAAGGAATGCTAGATCTTTAATTATAAATGAGTTCTGAGCTGCTTATATTATAAATTATCACCCAAAACTCAAAATATAACTATTTTTAGATACTTAGACAGCAAAAAATCATTACAAAAAGTGGCTTCTTGGAAGCAAAATATTAATAAATGAGACCTTCAGCACAGTATGAATAATGTCAAACAGGACAGCTGATGAATGAACCATTAGACGCGTTGACATAAATAATTTTCCTCCTTGGCTGCTTCTCCTCCATGGAATCTGAACTCAAATTGTCATGCTATGCCGTCATAAAACCACAGCTGGATTAAACTCGTGAAAGTCACAGAACATTAAGGATAAACAAAACAGATCCACAGATTTCTCCTTATTATGACTGGAAAAACTTATTTTTTTCTTGTTTAATATTTAACTGAAGCGTTTCATGTTGTGGTTTTGTGTTTCACCTCATTTACCCACATGGATCCGTGTATGAAGGCACTACAGGCTGTATATTTCTCTGCACGTGTATCTGTAACATGATGTTTGACATTAAAGGGATAGTATGTCCACTTCTGAAGTGATCTGTCAAATAGTCTAATGGCCATCCATATGTGCACCTGGTTTTTTTTAAATGCTAGTAGTTTTTCAGGCTTAAAAAAACAACTTGTTCTTGTGAAAGAACACTTTTATTAAACCTCTAGACGTTTGCATTGCATCATTTCTTTAGTTTGTCGCCGTTTTCTCAAGCAAAAAGGTCCGTGTTGCTGTGCAAATGTGTAGACCTCTTTTTTTAATGGATAGTGCGAAGAGGCTGCAAATGTATCAGTCCTCCAGATTAGTGAATCAGAATCAGCTTTATTGTCATTGCACCGAAGCACAACTCAGAATCAGAAACATCAAGTCAGTATAAAGTTTACACAACTCTCAGTGGACTGATACATTCAGCATCATTTACGCAATCTATGAAGTGTTACCATCTTATCACAAGCAAAACTGGTTTGTTCCACTTTGGAGTAAGCTGTTGCGGGAAGAATCAGCTTTGTTGTGCGTTTTCTTGACTGATGAAGCCTTCCGGATCGAAGGCGAAACGTTTCAGCACAAAAAAAGAAACTGTCCAGATGACCTGACTGAAAAATGTTGGATTGTACACCTGGATTATCGAGCATGAACTTTGTTGTTGCCAACTTTGTTTCAACAACTGTTCAGACCCCTAACAAAGGTCAGTCAGGTCATCTGGACGGTTTATCTTTTTTTGTTGAGACGTTTCACCTTTCATCCAAAGGACTTCATCAGTCCGAGGAGCCACAAACAAACTCAGTCCCACAAGCAACACACTCCCATAGTGGACCAACCAGTTTGCTGGTGATAAGATGGTTTCTGCGGCCCGCCCTCTCCTCTGTTAACTCCTCTGAGGCAGCCATAGCCAAAGTGGTTCAGGAAGTCCCCCCGGATCTCCCTCACCTCCCTCCGCAGCTCGCCCTCGTAGGGCAACTCAATGGCAGAGAAGACCCCCTCGTGGGGGGGGTTGAATTTTGGCATTAAAACAAACCTGAAGAAAGTTAACATATTGAGTATTTTTTTACAGACTTCCTGTCTCTTCCACGTTATTTAAATTCAAATAATTAAAAAAAAATTAAGAATTTAATGAAGTCAATAGCAACTTCTAACAGGTTTTAGGACAGCTTAGCTACTTTCCTCACAGAGGAGTTGGCAACTCTTGGGTGGAGTGAAACGGGCGTTGTTCCGTTAAGAAAACTGCAACACAAAATAAAAGTGTCTTATGAAGGTGGAGAGGGTTAACATTAGCTAATGTAGCTAACAAGCACATGTTTGGTTAGCCCTTAGCCTAGCCTGGAGAGAAACCTTTTACTCCATATTCTGTGCTTTATGATGGATAACAATAACTACTGATAAACAGCACTTTAAAAATTACCAGTTTATCCCTTTAAATGTTTGAGCCTGAGCTCATGTAGATTTTAATGTGGAACAACTCCATCCAATTCCATGCTCTAATTTCCCTGAGAACAAATTATTTCATGATAATCCTGCATTCATTTTTTTTTGTTGTTGTTGTATACTCTCTTCACCTCAACCTGCAGCATCTGCTTCAGTTTAGTTCCTCTACCGATCTGAGAAGAGCTCCACAAAATGAGTTATTTGTGCCGTTTGTGTGCAGATGGAAAGATCAACATCAGATTGAGAAAGAGATCAAAGCAGGTTTTTTTTTCCTGCAAAAAACCGCAATTGTTCAAATTACAAACACGATGTTCTTTGAAGCTGTAATCGATGGCCATGATGCATTCTGGGTACTAGATGATTGTATTCCAGAATGACCGGACAATGTTGGACTTTTTGAATACGAGGCTCCTGCTGTTTGATTGTGTTGGGCCAACATTCTTTCGGTTTTTATAAATTTTACTCCAAAAGGTTGATGGTTTTATTTTTAAATGTTCCAAATGTTCCACTAGATATAAAATAATACTTAAGAAAGTGAAGACGACCTGACAGAGCTATTTTCCATAGGTCAGTGTTAAAATGCACCTCTTCTGCCTTATTAGATCGTTAAAAAACTTAAGGTCATTGAAAGAAGGATTCAGGAAAAAGGCAGCGCTCATTTGCATTTACCGTATTTTCCGGCGCATAAGTGCAGGTTCTTTGCATAGATTTGTCAGTCCTGCGACTTATACACCGAAGCGACTTGTATACTTTTTACATATTCATAATGCAATTTTTGACTAATGCTTTAAATTTCTAAGAAATGCAACAGCGAGTCCTCCCGTGCGCGCTAACTTCCCTCAGCTGGTGCAGGCAGAGGAACGCTGGAGAGCTACCGGTTCCGGCAGGGAGGGAGGGAGGGATGGATGGATGGATGGATGGATGGATGGATGGATGGATGGATGGATGGTGATGAAATGAAACATCATGGAACATGTTGACAACAAATGAGACAGATGAAATGAAGCTGTTCCGACCATTAAATAAACACATAATAAACACGATGGGTCAGCTGTGACGCATAATAAAGGCGATTTATATGCCTAAGTGACTTATACACTGGAAAATACGGTAATCTTAGTCCCAACGTTGACTTTAATGCGCCTCCTTATACAGCTTTTAGTCGCTGTTTCTTTTCAGAAGACAGAAGAAATTTACCTTTCTGCTTGCAACCTGGCTTCTCTGCTCCCGTCGTTCTCCCTCTGACTCTGTTTACATCCAGAAATTATTTTACCGACTCAGTATCCATTGAGACTGTTCAAAGTGTATTTGCCAATGACTGAGTGTAAACAAATGACTTGTATTTGTTGGCAACAAACCCTGACTCTGCTGATTTTGCTCATACTGTAGACTTTTGCTAGTGAAAGATGTGGGTTTTTTTTAATCATATATTATAAAAATAGAAAAACATCAAGTATTTGGCAATTATTATGGATTTCAAGTGCTATCTAGAGCAGGTAAGATATTATCTGTTCATAGTAGAAACGGTGCTCCACATCAAAACGATCTGTACTTCCCAGGTCAAGATGTTGACGTCTTCCTAAAGATGTCCGAGTTCTGCTTTTAAACCTGCACTCCTGTTGCAGGATGGTTGTGTACGAGGGCAGGGACATTCTGTCCGACTCTGGCGCGGTTTACGACCACACCCTGGCCGGAGGCAGGCTGGGACTGTTTGTCTTCTCTCAGGAACATGTAATCTTCTCAGACCTGAGATACGAGTGCAGAGGTAACGTGTCACACCAAAACAGCTGCTCTTCCTATAGAAAACAAACCAACGCTGTCAACATAAGTCCGTTTTAACGCACTACCTCTGAGAAATGTAAGCTAAAACATAAAATGGTAATAAAACGCTCTTGTATCATTCAGCTGGTGTAGAATAATGCTTCATCCCTCTTTGCAGTGTAGTAGAGTAAAATGATAAAGCAACATAAAATGGAAAAATTTAACCATCCATCCATTATCTGTTACCCGTTTCTTCATTGTTGTGCTGCTTTTGATCATTGTGGCTTTAGAGTCATTGATCTGTTTTTATTTTTATTTTTTCACAGATAACTGAAGGTTTTTTTCTTGGGATGTTCAGGATGCTCCACAGCAAACAACCCACAATAAACTCAGAGGATTTTTATACAACCAGAGATGCACCGGGCACAAGCCTTTTATATCCAGCCAAGACTATCAATTAGTGACCGTCGTCTTTCTGTCTGTCAGCTTTTTATGCAACAGTATCGATTCCAGGCTGTCTCATTCTCTGTATGGTACCCCTCTGGCATCGTGTCTACCGACACCTTCTGTTGCTTTTCATTTGTGTCTTTCGAACGGTTGTAAATAATTATTTATTGCAAGAGACCAGATATAGGAGAGATGAAAATGATGGAGTGAGCTGAGCTGATGTCTGGTGATAACTTATCAATAAAAACAGCGTTTTTTTTTTTGTTTTTTTTTTAAACAACTGCTCCCCTGCTCCCTTTTGAACTGAGATGCGGTCTTTTGCGCCCTCTGGTGGTCAATACCAAAAATACATAAAAGTTCATTTTCTGAAGCTCGAGTGCTGAGTGACTGCAGAAATATGCTGAAGATAAAGAAAGCAGAATACAAGCTAAAAACTAAATTCAACCGACCTGCCGGTCAAATCTAATAACAGCAGAACAGTAACTCAAAGCAGCAGAACAGCAGCTAAATAAACAAAACGTAATGGTAACAAAAAAATTAAAACTGCAGCTAAAAACTGAAAAGGAGCAGAATGTTAGCTCAAAGTATCAAAACCATAGCTAAATGCTAGTAGTGGTAGAACAGCTGCTAAAAAAGTGGAACATTGGTTATAAAAACAGCAAAAAGTGAAAAGTAGCAGAATTGGAGCTACAGGCTAACGTTGCAGGACAGTGTCTAAAATAGCAGAAATATAGCTAAAAATTAAAGTGGGAGAGCAGTAGCTAAAAGCTAAAAGGAGCATAATGAACTAAAATGCAGCTACTAAAAGATGGAAATCAACAGAAAGGTGCTTATTTTAGCAATTATTTGCCACTTTTAAAGGATAAAAATGGCAAATAATAGCTAACATTCACCCCTTTAGCTAAAATTTGCCACTTTTAAAGGCCAAAAGTGGCAAATGTTAGTCAAAAGAAGCAGAACAATATACACTAAAAGTGGCTATTCTGCTTCTTTTAGCTAACATTTGCCACTTTGGGCCTTTACCTACAGGTGGCAAATGTTAGCTAAAAGAAGCAGAACAGTAGTTACAGGTACCCAAACTGTAGCTGAAAGCTAAAAGATGTGTAGCTAAAGACTAAAGTGGTAAAACAGTAGCTAAAAGCTAAAAGGAGATGACTAATTAAAATCAAAACAGCAGTTAAAAGTAGCAGAACAACTGAGTAGCAAAATGATAGCTAAAGGCTAAAAGTAGCAAAATGGTAGCTTAAATCAAATTTATTTATAGAGCACATTTAAAAACTGTTGTTGACCAAAGTGATGCACATAAATAATGAGAAAAAAATGCAAAAAACAGGAGACTGTAAAAACATTAAAGAATAAAAAATGTCTAAAATGAGATAAAGACATAAAACCAATAAAAGAGGCAGTGAATAAATAAATAAATATGTGGACCAACTAGGCAGGATCATAATATTAAGTAATTATTAGATCTGAGGGCACATAGGTCTACAGGAACCTGTCCATTTAGGCCTTATAGGTCAACAATAAAACTTTTAAATTAATCCTAAATCGCACCGGGAGCCAACGAAGGGATGGAGCACTGTGGAGATCTGATCACATGTCTTTGTTAGTGTTTAAATTTTTTTTTTTTTAAATATATAAAAAATTAGCTGCAGTGTTGTGGACCAGCTGCAGCTGAGAGAGGTCGGCTCGGCTAAGCAACAGAGTTGCAGTAATCGAGTTAGGAGGTAATAAAAGCATGAATCAGCCATTCAGTCTTTAAAGAATAAAAATGAATTCACTTTAGATAAAAGCTGCATTTTTTTTTATTTATTTTTAAAAAAGGATATTTTTACAACAGAACTAACCTGTTTCTCAAAGTTACAATTATAATCAAATACTGTTCCCAAAAGGGCCAGAGTGTCGTCTGAAAAGGAATGAAAAGAAGTATTGATTTTTCTACAAATGGAGCATAAAGGGGGCATATAAATAGAAAGTAATATGGGTCCAAGAATATAACCTTGGGGTACTCCATGTGAGAGAGGCAGAGGAGAAAATAGTCTCTGAGGTTTATGAAAAAAAACTCCAGTGAGACCTGAGGTCTTTGATACCACATTGTTCCAGTGACAGAAAAATCAGCTAAACACTAAAAGTAGCTAAAGAAGACACACTAAATGTTTTATAGTGCCTTTGTTGTTTTTAAGTTAAATTGACTGATTGTACCTTTAGCTGGAATGTTCTGAGTCATTTCCTGCAGGTCAGAGCCGGAGAAAGAAACCCATTCGAACTCCTCACCCGAAATTAAACCGGTTCCACCGGTTTGAGGAGGACAATGTAATAGACCCAAATGCACGCGCACTTTACCTGGTAAGGTGAGCGCGAGCGACGTCAGAAGGGCAACTTCCAATGAGAGAACGAGGAAGAGATGCACACACACAGAGGAAGGCGGAATGCGGAATGCGGCTCTGAAACTTTTTGTTGGTTGTGAGCGTGTTTGTGTGATGGTGCTCGGAGGAGGAAGCTGGTGCGCGCGCTTCCCGCAGCGGCACGTTAACTTCGCCCTCCTGCTCGTGGGTTACGTCTTTTACCTGACCGTGGGCGCGGGGATCTTCTCCGCCATCGAGCTGCCCTACGAGGGCGAGCTGAGGCGGGAGGTGAGGGAGGTCCGGCGGGACTTCCTGAGCAACAACACCTGCGTGTCGGACGCGCGCCTGGAGGAGCTCCTGGCTCGCGCGCTGGAGGCCAATAACTATGGAGTGTCCGTCCTTGGCAACGACACGAGCCGGAACTGGAACTTCGTGTCCTCGCTGTTCTTCACCAGCACCGTGCTGACCACGACAGGTGAGCGCCGGCAGGTGTAAGCGCACATTTACCTGTTCTGTTCTGGGCGGGTTGAGCCTATTCATCAATTATTAGCTATTAAAAGGTTCTTTTCGTCTTATAGATTTTTTTTTTTAATGAGTCGATTGTAGATTTGAAAGTGATGTTCCCTGAAAAAAACAAAAAATAAAACAACAACTTAGAGCAGCAGCGATTTATTTTTTTTATTTTTTATTTGCCCTATTTTCGCATTTTGATGCACACCTATAACTTCACATCAGAATAAGGTGAGCAGCAAGAAGAAAGCTTTCAGTGTATCTCTTTGCTGAATGGCTAAATGTCCATAAAATAGCTTAAACTACAGATTTCTTTATATGCCTTATTTATAAATTACATAATTAATTCACAGCACTGGGTTTTGGGTTGCCAGGTTGCTAAGGAAGTGTTCTTGGCGTCTGAAAGCTCCTGTACACTTTAACAAAAATACTGTCATGCAACATTAAAAACAAGCACATTTAAAAACAGATTTCCCACAAGTCATTTTTATGAATTATATCTTTAAAAGCAACAAATACTCCTCTTTTTGCCTTTTTTTTTCTAAAATGAGAGGGAATAGGTAGCATATGTCATGAAGTGATCCATTTTTTCTTTATTGTTTCACTTGTAAATTAGTGTTCCTGGATTATGCATGTTGTCACTGCCTTTCATGCCAGTTTTACATCCTCTTGTGAGTAAAACAAACTGAGTTGTACCATGCAGTCAAACTTTGAAAATTGCATTATGGGTAATCGTATGTGATATTGCAAGATCCCAGCTACTACCAGGCTGAATTTTAGCTGAATAACTGATATTGTACTTGCCGCCGTCCACGTTGCACCACCGTATAAGTTGCATCAGTCCAAATATGTATAATAAAGTGGAAAAAACATAAATATGTCGCTTCGCCTTATAAGTCGCATCTATTATGCGTCACCGCTGACACGTCGCGTTTGTTATGCGTCACCGCTGATCACCTGGAAATGTGGGCCAGTGTTGTGCCAAAAATCAATTGGCTGCAAAACGGTGGCCGCGGGAGTGTGCACGGGAGGACTATAACAAGAATTTAACAAAATTAACATTTAAAAACAATTATTTGTTTGCTTCACATTATAGTAAAGGTGTGCCTCAGTTGAACTTTTCCTTAATAAATGCACTTTAATGATCAAATCAGCTGCATTTCGCCTGGGCGTCGTGAGGAAATGTAGCTGATTTGATGAAGGTGGATTATGGCAAGCCAAGTGGCTCGCCTTTACTTATTAATGAGACACTTGGCTTGCTATAATTGTCGAGGGCCCTCTAGTGGCTAAAAATGGTAGTGTTCAATATTTTCATGTCAGAATGAATGAAATTGTCTGATCTCAACCAAAAATTGGATTATCAATTTAGGAATAAAAACATAAATACGTCGCTTTTCTGTATAAGTCGCAGGGCATGCTAATTTATGCAAAAAACTGCGACTTATACAGCAAAAATTACGATATTTATTTGTTGGCTATAATGCTCATTAGCCTCGGCAGCCGCCTTTAGTTAGACTCCAAAATTTTCTTCTGTCTAAATATTGTTTAAGTGAAGTTTCTCATGCGATTCAAAATCACCTCCCTGAAAATATGATCCCATAATTGACACAGTTTCTTCGTTTTCAGGTTATGGCCATGCCGTCCCGCTCTCAGATCTCGGGAAGGCGTTCTGTATTTTATACTCCCTGCTTGGCATCCCCGTCACGCTCTTCTTCCTTTCCACCACGGTGGAGAGGCTGGTGGTGCTGCTGACCCGACGCCCCGTCTCGTACTTCCACCGACGATGGGCACTTTCCAGATCCAAGCTGGCTGTGATGCACGCCACGTGCCTCAGCGTCATCGTGGCCCTGCTCTTCCTCTTCATCCCTGCGTGGATCTTCGTGGCTCTGGAGGAAGAGTGGAACTTTTTAGACTCTCTGTACTTCTGTTTCATTTCGCTGACGACCATAGGGCTCGGTGACTACGTCCCTGGGGAAACTCACAGTAAAAAAGAGGCCAACCCACATCCACATCTGTACCGGCTGGCCATTACAGGTGCGCAGGGCTGTGTTTTGACTTGTGTGTGTTTAGTTGTTCAGTTTTACACATTGAGTTTACATTTGGAGTAGTAGTAGCTTAGCATCATCCCCAACACGTACTCTAAGCGCTAACAGCTCACAATGTTACTTAAGCTTGTGTTTCCAATGGAATTTACTTTGTTAATCAAAATGACTAACTCTGTCCCTCCTAAGCCTAAAATTATTTTACTGTGTGCACATTTATCAAGACTAAAAAGCACCGACGACGCTCTTTATTTTGTAAGGCCAAACCTTGATTTGATGAATCACGCTCTATTGCTTTTAGTTTCATTACTCTCATTGTGTGCGTGTCTGTTTGCTTTCCCAGTCTATTTGCTGCTGGGCCTGGTGTTTATCCTGGTGGTGATGGAGACGTGCTGCGAGCTCCCACAGATGAGACTCCTGAGACAGAAGTTTTACCAAGAAGACGTTCGGGAGCTGGACTCTGAGACCACCAACATCATCGACCAGGACCACCTGAACGACCAGACGACTGACATCCCAAATCACATGACTTTAGATCAGCTTCCAGTCATCTCCTCCGTGTCAGAACAGGCTGAAAATCTGCGGCAGAACCACACTTCTGTTAATGGAAACCTGAGATAACTCCTATCTGGGCTGTTGTTGTGGGGTGGTCTGGTTTTTAAGGAAGTCGTTTATGAACTTTTCCTGCTGCTCAGTGTTAGCATAAGAGTGAACATACATGCTGAACCTCTTAGTAGTTTAAAAAAACAATTGCTCTCTGCCAAAGCCAACACAAACATGTGGTGTAAAAGCAGGAACCGCCCACAGATTATCAGTATGGTTTTGTTTGTTTTTTTTGCTCCATGCTGCACTTTTTCTTGCAGATATTAATCTTTGAGAGAGAGGAAGGGGCATGGCCCCCCTAAAATGAAGGAAACCTTAATAGTTTCCACTCCTTGATACAGCTGTAACTCCCAAAATGCACAATTTGCCCTGTAAGATTTCATTTCCATTCTTGGAACAATGCGTATCTGTGGTATTTGCATTGGGAATTTGCCTTCTCGGCAACAGTAAAGCCAGCAGACCTAAAGGCTCAGGCGTGTCATCTATTGGCCAAGAGTAAACCTTGTGCAAGCGTTCCAGGAAGATACATAGATGGCAAATGAATAAATATTTGTCTTCCAGGATTTTCACAGGTGTTGATTGGCCTTCAGATCCTGATGACGTAGAAATACGCGAGGGAACTTAAATGTGGTGTTCAGTGTTTTCCACTAGAGGGCAGCACTAAGATGTCCCGGGTAGATTACTGTTATGTAAACTGCTGCATGTATGACTGTGACATATGAAGGTAGTTTTCCCATTAATACATATTTTTTAAAGATTAATGCAGCTCTGAGCTGAATGTACTTAACGGTGGATATTTTATAACTGCATGTTGCTGCATCCTTTCCACAAAGCAAAAGTCAAAATGGGATGCTTCTGGGGAGTGGAATAATTTATTTTCATTGTCGTTTTCCTGGTTTAAGGGCTTTAGTAAGGGTTAGAACTTTGAAGTTGTGGTTTTTATAAAATCTTATAAATTTAATAGGTAAAAATAAACACTACATAACCTGTGTACTGGATTTTAGAAAGGGAGAATAAAGCTCAAGCAACCAAACTGAACGTTTTATATAAACATTTGTGAGTTTATTTATACAGTGACATAATTCAAAACCGATAACAATATGGATACACATACGCGCACACACATTCAGACATTCTTTTAATTCATACATCATTTAAAGCATTCAAATATCCTTCAACCAGATACCAGTCTCACTTCAGCGAATCCTGACATCTGCAGATCTGTTTGAGCTGACCTTTGACCTCTACGCAAATTGATACACACAAACCTTCACAGATTTTACCTCCCTCACACATACATCTGTGCTTTTATACAATGTGTGGTTGCTTTTTGAAATTGAGACAGAAACATCTGAGGCTGAGGATGAAGAGGACGAAGAGCAGCAATGCACTGACGGTGACTATAGAGACGTAGCCGGCGTGTGGCAGAGGAGGCGAGTCCGGAGCCTCTGCTGGAATCATGTTGGTCAGATTCAACATGTAGCCCAGTGTCCAGCCCGCATCGCTGCCTTTTATCTGGAAACAGTAAAAATTAAATAAAACAATACTTCATGTGTGTGCATCTCTTTGAGAACACGCTTCACATCCTTTATTAACAAAGGAGACCCATCATTTCACATTTGCACATGTTAAATGCTTGAGTCATTTTAGCTGGCCAGCACTACTTTGGTTCTGTACACAGAAAAACCACATGAATTCACCATAATTTGCACATGTGATCCCAAGTGGAAACCATGTGATCACATGAACATGTTAAAAATCATCAGGCATCACATGCCTGTGTGCCATGTGTAAAATAAAATTAACCATTGCACACATTTGAATGAAGGAAAAAGTAACTAAATGTATACAACTGATACATTTTTTAAGTCAGTCCCATTCAAGATGTCCACCATAACAAAAATGACTACAAATAAGTCAGTTTCACGTTTTGTGTTAAAATGTGATGAGGTAGTAGCTGAGCGTGATCCCCAACACATACCCTGAAAGCCAAGCTATAACTCTGTTCTCTGTTACTATTGATTCTACTTTGAGTAGTTTTATTTACTTAACTGAAAATGAACTTGAGTATAAAAGAGTTATTTGTTTGATAATATAATGCACTATTTTGTAATTAAATTAACATAAAGTTCATTGTAAATAAATATTTAAGCTAAAAGATAACCTTAAAAACAAACTGCACTTCTCATTTACAAACTGCTCGCGCATGTACACGCGCTCAGCACACAGAGCTGATTTCGGCTCGTCCAATCATATTCAAGCAGGTGGACGCCGCGGCCATATTAGCTAGCTAACTTTTTTTAAACTGCACCTAAATGCTTTTTCCACTTCTAGAGAAAAGTAAGATACACATTGACGAGGTAAGAATTTTTTTTTTTTTTTACTTCATTGCTGTTTCTTTCCTCGTTTAATTTATCCGGAAACTGGCATTTAAATAATTTAGGCTAATTAGCAAGCAGCTAACTAGCATAGCCTGGAAGAAGGCCTTTATATTTTTGTTTTGGTTGTAGTTTGGGCACTAAACTTGAATGTGTCTAATTGAGTGAGTGACACACATGCTTTGTTGTAATAAAGCAGGACCCCCCCCCCCCAACCCTTGCCTATATCTATAGTTTTTCTGTCTTAAATTTCATTAAAGGTGACAGTATCATCGTTTTAAATTTGACTAACTGCAGGTAGTCAAATGCAGATAGTTGATGTACCAGGACTGTCATTATTGTTAGAATAAGGTGTTTTCAGAATATATTTGTAATGACAGTGATGTTCTGTCGCAATTACAAAAGTTTTAAGGCCCATTTCTATGAGATGTACAATCTGAATAGCTCCTAAATATGTTATTTGTGGTTTCAGGAGTATTAGTACATGAAACACTTATCCAGATGTTGTTTTTTTCTTGGCTTGAGTCTGGATAGAAGGAGAATTGGAAGACTTTTTTTTTTTTTTGAACATGCAAAGATTTAAACTTGTTGGAAGCCTTTTTATTTTATGTTTTACATCTGGTATTCATTTTTTTTCATGCAAGAATCTAATATGTGATTTTAGTTGTCTGTGGAAACTGAACCTTTTCAACTATGAAATAATCATTTGGAGCTGCTCGACATTCTTTCAATGTGTTCGTGAAGAAAATGAACTTTGGTTGTACATGGCTGAACTTTTTTGTACACTATAAAACAATAAAAGGTTTGTAGTTTCCATGAGTTACCTAAAGGCAGCATGTGTGGTTTATATTAATCTGGATGTTTTGGGATACACAGAATATTTTGTATTTACAAAACAGCATTTGTTGTTAGTGGAAGGTATGCAGGCTCAAAGGAAATTGACTAAAAGATGCACAGATGCAGTTTCAGTCAGTCTTCAAAAGAAAGGTTGTGTCGGATGTATTTTGTGAAACAGGTACTGTGACGGATGTGCTAATTTATCTATGAATAGGTCGCATTTAACTTCAATGGTTTAAATTTTTATTTTATTTTTTGTCTGCAACATAAAGCTCCTAATGCAAAGAAACTTTGAAAAAGACTGGAGGACAACAGTTTAGTGGTTAGTATTGTTGCTTCACAGCAAGAAGGTCCTCGGTTTGATCCCCAGGTTTGGCCTGTGGTCTTTTTGTGTAGAACCTGCATGTTCTCCTTATGTTTGCGTGGGTTTTCTTTGACTCCGGTTTCCTCTCACAGTTCAAAACATGCATGCTAGACTGCCTTCAGGCCTCCCTTGCAAATGAGATCTGTGATCTCAGTGGAATTTGCCTGGGTTAAATGAACATTAAATAAAACTCCACATATGATGGTAGCTCCTTCAGAGTTTATAATGGCTCAATAAATGATCACATTACGTAATACAATGATGCACATGTTGAGGAAATTGTGAACAATGTATTTCTTTAAAATAGATTCAGAAAACTAGTCAAAGCAATGTACTACTTCAATGTAATTTAACTATGAAAGCAATTGTTCAAATTAATTTATCAACTTTTAAATATTACGTAAAATTCAAAGCTTTTGTGTTTTAGAATGTATGTAGTATATTTACCAAAGACTGAAAGATATAGAAAATACCATGCATTTATAATTAATCTGAAACTCCTAAATATTTTTCTAATTTAAAAATCATAAAAATTACTTATCATGTTGAGGACCAACCAGTGTCTTTACTCAGATATACTAATTTACAAAGTATGCAACTCGATCACAAATATATTTAATGGACTTGTTCGTACACATTTATGAAACTTATCATTCCTTGACAGAATGCATATTGTCTTGCATGTGACAAAATTAAAACAAAGAGCTCACAAGTTCAGTTAATGCTCAGAGTTTCTGTTGGATATTATTCACTGCTACCTCACCAAATTTTAGCTCAATATCTGTCAATTTAAATAAGTTATAGCAATTTTTTGCGTTTTAATAAAGTTGATTTGCTGTGGCAGCCATCAAGTTGACCCCTAAATTAGTTGTAGGTGTACTACGTTAATTTTCTGGGAGCTTCAGTAAAATCTGTACACTGGTTTAGGAAATATTTTGCCAAAAGCCAAACACACTCACATTCTCAACTTTTAAAATTAGGGGGAAGTTAAATACTTCATATATGGACCTTTTGATTGTGTGAGAGGGAAAACATGGGCACTGATCTACTGACCTTCTTGATGAAGTTTATGTTTGAGTAGGTCTCAGAGGTGAAGTTGTATCCTTCTGTCAGCAGAGTGACGATGTACGTGCCAGAGAAGCAATACTCAGCCAGATATTTTACTTTGATCTCCGGATGCTGCTGCACTATCTGTTGAAGTAGTTCAAAGTCAGTAAGTGTTCAGTAAAACCAAAGCTCGAAGGCATTGATAAGACATGGAAATTGTTGAATACTGTAGATTATTTTTCTTGTGTGCCTAAATCTTCCCCAACCTGATTCCAAGGCGTAGCGCAGTAACTCGCTAGCTTTTCCTTCACAGTTTCTAATGACATGGATGCATCAGTCAGATTGAGGAAGTTCATCACAAAGTAGTAAGCAGAAAATGCCTGCAATGAAAGAGGAAGAAGAAAAGAATAGGGATAAGGGTACAAGTTCAACTTTTAGAGAAATGAAGCAACCTTGTTTTTAATAGCCACTTCTCCTAATTTGATGCATAAGACAGGCATTCCAGACTGGTACTGTGTAACAATTAAGATTTTAAGAGCTTAGTGTACTAAAATACATAAAGATCATCTAAATGTTGTCTGGTGTTGTGATTTAACATATTAAAATGTTTTTCTACTACTTTTAATCTCAAAAGAAACTCCCAGTTGAGATCTTTTTGACAAGTGTTAATTAATTGACCCTAAATTTATCAAATAAATTGTTGAAAATGTTTTAGTGGTAATAAAATGTATAGAAGTTCTGTATTTTGCATAGCCAAACTGTTAAACATCCCAGGTAATGTAGAGGAAAAACACTAACAGTGTTTTACCCCAAATGATCCTTGCAAAGGTGGCTGGAAGACTCCATTGAAAGAGCATCGGCTGTACTCGCAGAAAGTAAAGTTGAAGACATTTTTGACAACTTCCTGGCATTGTTTGAAGTTTCCTGCCCCTGTGTGATTGAAGGTTGCAGTAGTGTACTGGGGTTTCCTGTCTGACACACAGGGGCTGTCAAAGAGGACTGAGTAATTCTTTAACGCTGAGTAGCCTTGGTGGAAACAAGGATCCAATATTGTTCTTGGACCTGACTAGGAAAGATAGTGAGACAGAAGTATACAGAGAAAGCATGTTGAATTAATTGTATTGGTCTATAGTAGATTCCAGCACATAACATCTTTGCCACTTATTATCTCAGTTATTTAGATCTGCAGTGAGAGACTTCAGAAGTTTACTTTGGTTTGGTGTGCTAATGCCATTCTTAGCACTTGGTCTTTCCCATAGCACAGGAAGCTATGAGTGTACAGGTTGTAGTCGTTTCCGTAGAGTCTGAAGGTCACAGAGTTGCTGGATGACTCTGAAATGTCGTAATTGTCCGATACAAAGCTAATTTGAGTTGAGGCCCCACCAAGGTCAAGAGCGCCTGTTGTTTCTAGACCCTGCAGCAAAAACAAAAGGGCACTGAAGTCACTGTGCAGTAGCAACACCCAGACACAAAATCTTCCTAAAGTGGACAAATATGCAGTGATGCAGTATTTGGCACTATTCAAACAGACCTGCTTGAGGCGATCATCCAGGTAGTTGACTGTGACCCAGCCAAAGGCGCCTTCCTCCTGTCCACTGAGTATTCTCGCTCCCTGATAGGAAAAGGGGAACCTCAGCAAGGCTTTCTCCACAGCCTGGAATACCTTGTCTGACGCCACACTGTTCTCTATACTGAACACAGAAATACAGTAGTGCTAATTCAATAGAATGAATCACATACATAATTCAAGTCAGAAGAGTAGCTCATAAATAATAGAAGTCTGTACCATTTAAAATGGATTTGACATTAACACATTTATTGCCCTGGGGCTGAAGTTTATATGAACATAAATCATTTCATAAATGGAAAAGGCAAATAGCTGGTCTGAGCACTGGCAGTGCAAACACGACAACAAAATTCAGATATAATAAGATCACAAGAATGTTTACATGCGAAGATTTCTTTTTCTCAAACAGTTGTAATAGAAGACCAAGGAGATTTACATTTAGTGATTAAACAGTTATCAAGAACAAGAATAACAGTGTAAGAAATGGAAACAATTGTCAAAATGGTGACGTTCAGCAAAACCTTGAAGCAAAACTGGTTCTGCAGTGAGAATTTTCATTCTGCTGCTTGTTCATGACAGGAAGCAAGTAATTAATGTTAGTCAATAAGCCATTTTACTGTAGGAACTACCACAAACACCTTTAGTAGGTGTTGATACCTCTGCAAGACTGAGGTTGACATTCTCTCAATATGGTTGTCCTTGTAGTTTGTATTTTGTTAAAGACAAATGTTTCAGATTTCATTATGGGAATGTGCAGGATTGACATGTGCAGCGTACTTAAGCAGTCGCATTCCAGCAGTAGCTCCCAGATAGAGAGGAGTCTCATGGTGTCTCTTTCTGGGGACCTGCTTCTCAGCCTCTTGCATGCATTCGTTCAGTGACTCTCCTGCCTTCACTGGAGCATCTGCATAGCTTGAAATACCCTTACCTGCAAGAGGAAGACAATATTAAGAGTTATTTAGCCAAAATAACAAGAATATAGTTTGAGTTAAAGAAAATCTGTTTGCAACAGAATAATTTTGCACAAAGTCTTGTCATGTATCTCAGGCATTTGTAATGATTGCATTTTAACATTGCTGAGATGGTATTAGGAGGGTACTAGTTTCTACTGAAATAAAATATTAAAATCAGTCAAACCTAACTTGAACCTGACTTTCCCTCCAATAAAGATTGGTTGTTACAGCAGCAGAGGACATTAAAACAGATACTTTAGGGAGATTACAAACATTGATAAGTTACATTCCTTGAGTAGACATGTTTCACTGTATCATTTGAATTCAGAACATTTTATTATAACCAAATTCCTGAGATTTACATTGTATGTATCAAATTGTGATTTGTGCTGTCTGCCTCTAATAAACATTTTAATAAATGCAATCCACTGCTTTTTATAATCATTTTGTTGTTGTCAACTGTGTCATGCCATAATGACCAGTTAAATTGGAACTCATAAATGTTGGTGAATAGAAAGGTTTTCTTCAGTTAAGAAGTCTTATTAAGTCACAAATTGCACTGTGTCCAATTTGGATTAATGTTGAATAAATGTAGTCCTGTAGTCTTTGTGTGTGTGTTTGTTTGTATTTATGTGAGGTTTGTTTAGAGCTTTGGCAAATCATTTGAGAGAATAATAGACTATCGCATTCATGCAGTGATAAAATTGTGGCAGACTAAAAGCTGATTTCTTTATTAAAAGGTACTTCCAGATTAATAAAATAAAATTTAAATTTAAAAAGACTATTGCGTTTGAGGTTTAACCACCAACCAAACAATTTGTGAAGCACAAAGATAAACATTGTGTCCGGGGTTAGGACAGCTACAACTTTAAACACAACATTTAAATCATCCACTTTTTATATTGCTGGTCCTCCAAAACAGTTTTGCCCTGTGCAAACTTGGACTTAAACCACTGTATCCTAATGTATCGGTCATTAAAACATTAGCTAAAGAACCTGCAGGTCCTTGAGATTCGATAGAGCTTTTCCAAGAAAGGCTGATTAAAATCTAGGAAATTATTTTAAACTCTCGAGACTTGCACTCCTCTGCTAGAGTGCAAGTCTCGAGACTTCAGTTACATTCAGTTCTCATTCAGTTACTGTAATTAAAGGACTTTTCTCAAGGAATACCATTTCAGTGAGTGTATGTTCTATGCACGGTTTGATGTCAAAGTAACAAAAAATGCCAAAATATTTGGCAGATTTTCTTCTTATGGCTCAATCTATTGATGTTTGTAGAAATTAATTTAGGTTTTGTGCTTTAGTTCTTTTTTTGTTGCTACAATATTCTTCACAGCCCATAAACAGCTTGGTGGTACATTTGACCATTTTGTTGTCCATAAGAGTTAGTTTCATTTTTGCGTTGCTGTGCAATCGCTGACAAATCTATTACTTCTGCTTTTTCAGACCCCTTCAAGCATTTGCCATTTCCTTTTTTAACCATGGAAGTCCTCCTTCCACTGAACTCTGTAACCTATCTTGACTTACGATCTACCACATGATGCTTCCTATTATTGACTGATGTTTGCAGATAAACTTCATCAGCACTTGTTTGTGCCACATCTTTTGCCTTTCTCTTGTCAACTTTCAAACCAAATAATTTACAACACTCGGGTATCATGATATCATGACATTTTGTAATAGTTTATTGGCATAGCTTATCAATTCAGTGGCTAAAGCCTTAAAAATTAGATCACGAATAGCCAATTAAACATATTCCAAAGTAATAACTAATTTAAAGAAGAATCTACACATGGTTTACATGTGGTTAGTGTTGCTGCTGTAGATTAGACATTTTAATGGAATGCTGTCCCCTTGTTCCAATCTGTCAAAATGATGAATAGCTTTCAGATTTTCCTGTCAAAATCCTGTGATGTAAAGTGAGGTCATGTGACCCGTATCCACAGAATGTTAAACAGAATCAGACATCTTCTTCTTATTTTTTTTTTTTTTCTTCATACAAATTCAGAATTCCAGAATTTTATTATGGACGTTCTGATCAGTCTGGAAGAGCACAATTTGGGCTTTTACATCTTGGCTGTTGGGTCAAACCAGCCATTCCTTGCACTTCATGCCTATTAGTGAGACTGTGGTTTCCACATTCTTGTCTCTGGTTCATGGATGTCCTTGTTTCTTACTACCGGTATTTTTCTGGCACTGATTAGTGCATGCTGGTACCACTTGGACTAGGCGATGCACTGACTCTTTTATGCAGCCATGACAACTGCCCTATTTACTCAAATCTGTTCCGTTACCTGTTTTTTTTTTTTTATCCACTTTTTTTCTACCAAGAACTTTTGAAATGAATGTGCATAATGATGCATTTAACCTTGCATATAAACATAGGCATAATAAATATTTGCATAATGATCATTGAAGTTTGGACGCTTGCCTGTGCATACATCTTGTATACTCCACCTTTTACTTTGCAGGAATATTTCTGTTCAACTCTTCCAGTGTTGTTATCTTTCTCTGCTGGCCATTCGTAGATGTAGAGAGCTGTGTGAGAAGAACCGGCATCCAGCACGATGCCATACTGTGGGGGAGACGAAAGGAGTTCCCGTTAAGCTGTTTGTGCCATTACCTTTGCACATGCTTCTTCCAGATGTGCTATTTCTAACCAAATTTGCATTGACTAAATAACACAGACATATTAGAGCTATCTAAATTACACTCAGCTTCAAACAGGAAAAAAGTAATTTAGTCAAATTACACCCGTCATTGCTCTCAGTTAACTATGATCAAACTCTTACATTTGTTGCCTTTAATGGCCTGTATTTGCAAGAAGATTTCTAAAGTCAATAGAACAAGTTGACCAGTTGAGGTCATATTCATTGCAAACCATTTGGCATGTTGATGTAACACCAGGATTTCACTGTTATTACTTACAGTCAGTTCCCGCATGGGGAGTAAGCCATCATTAGTTTAGGAATTTCCTCTAGCATACCTTATACTTTTGGAGGACGGGTCTGTTCTGCAAAACTGCAACTGTCACCAAGGCAACAATCGCTATGACACCAATCACAGTGATGATGATGGTCACAGGCGTGTGCCAGGGGTTCTTCTCTTTCATCTCTGAGAGCGGGGGTGGATGTACAGACAGACAGACAGGAAGGGAAGTCCAGAGAGTGGTCGGCATGGAAGATGGGGAAACATTGAAATTAGAACAGGGTGGAAGGGGGGGTTAGCCAGTCTTGCATCCAGATGTGAGTTATGTCACAGCATGTGGGAGTCTGTTGGAGGTTGCCTAGTGTGCTTAATTGTTTTGTAACTAAGGACTGCAGATGGCTGTTTGATTGTGTCTGATCCCTCGCCAGATCTGTGGGGAGATTTTGTTACTTTAAAAACAGTTACGTTTGAAAGGATACACCACTGAAGTGTTCAGCTAATGCTGAAAGATTAACAAGTCTGCTTTGGAAAAAGATTAAATGTTTGAACAGTTTGTACAGTTTGACCACAGTTGGGCTACACTCAAATAAATGCTTTTATTGGGGATGCCTTGACCTTTAGAGACAAAAGCTGTAGACTTGTCTGTGGGGTGGGGGGGACTGTTCTAAACATCCTGCTGGAGACATTATTTTAATCCTAAATATTTTTGTTTGCTGTCTCCGCAATGTTTCTTTTTTCTCTGAAAGGCTGTTTCCACTATTAACTATCGAGCATAAAACACTAAAGAACTCAGATGCTATCAAAGTAAATATATTGTCACGTGTTCAGTTTTTAAAGGGAACAGGTTGCTTGAATTCAGTCAATTATCTTGATGAACACGATAGCACTTTGAATTCTAAACAACTGCACACACATAGAAGTACACACTTTGTTTACCATGCACATGGCAGCTGTCAAAGTACACCGGCACACTGCTGAAACTGTCCCAACTTTAGAGTACAAAACCTATTGGATGAGGAGCAGCTCTGACTATAAACCTGAGTTTTTTTGTTAAGAAAATACAAAAACTCTAAATGCTAAAGTGCATTAACACCAGCAGCAAACCTAAAGCAAGCACTTACCTCTGCTGTCTGTCAGTGAGTTTGGCAATGAATGAGTGGGAGGTGAATCCTGAGAGAAGAGACGGTGAGGGAGGGACAATGACGTAAACTAAAGTAGAGGTAAAAGGAGGAGGAGAAGACGAGGAGAGAACGGACAGAGGGAAATAGCTGAGTGATGGGACCAGAGGCTTTCGGTTGGGCCGGACAGAGGATAAGAATAGAATGCGTGTGCGCGCCTCTGCTGGAGCAAATCTGAAACTCGGAGTTCGGCATTTCCTCCTCCTAGCCGAGGCAGTAGGCTGTAAAACTGGTCACTGTGGAGACACAGCTAAAGTGTTCTTGTGCACGTGTGTGTGCACTCGTGTGCATGTGAACTCTATAAAAAAAGGACTCTGTCTGTGAACTAATGAGAGACGCATGCTTCAGCACGTATCTGTTCTTTCTGTTGAATGTGGAGGGAGAGGGACGTGGGGACTCCCTTGTTTGGCTGTACTTTATTGCTGGCAGGCTGTGATGTCATCTTGATGACTGATTGGGATCCCCTGCTTTTCTACTTCCTCGTGCGTGTGTTTGTGCAGACCTAAAACATGACTTGCCTGCAGATGTGCTGATCCATTCACAGGTGGTCCTGTTATTTATTTCCCTCTTTTACTGCACATTTGAATGAAGTAATTATAAACTTAAACACACGCACAAGAACTTTACGATCAGTTGGTGTTTTTTTAACGTTCCTTTTTCTAAGTTTCCTTTTTTTAAGCAGATGTTGGATTAAGGAAAATATACTGACTTTACACACCGAGATTGACAACTATAACCAGGGCAACCAGTGGTTATTACTTTTTTTTTTCAAGAACAACCAAAGATTTATCCATATCACTTAAAATGTTGTTCCTAAACTCCACAAGCTTAAACTTTTGACTTTTTGTACTTGCCCTTAAATTTTAGTTTGTTTTTTATTTTCTTTTTGATAAATCTAGCACACACCCTTTTATAAATGGTTTATTTTACTTATTGCTCCCTGGAGTCTCTTTTCAGATTTCATAACTTTAAGGTCTAGTGTTGCTCTGACCTTGTGCCATTAGAACCATTTTACACTTAAACAATGAAAAATATCAAATTTTAATTATGTAAGTATGTAAGTATGTAATCAGTCCTGGATTTGGTTTTATTACTTGCAGAAAACTTATTGATACTAAAGCAAAACATTAATATGCAGAGAAGTTCAAATGGGGTTTAACTTTTAAATGTAAACTTTTACTCTTAAGAAAAGGGAAAGTCCTTTTTCCACCATGTTGACACCCTATCAAAATAAAGGACTGTGGCATTGTTTTGATTTTAAAAAACGATACTGGGCTTTTAGTGTGTTTCCAGTTAGATGAATGGATGGAGTTGCAAAGGCTTGCAGTCTTGTCACTTGATCTTGAGCATATTCTAAATATCGTGTGACAAAAATTTTTCTCAAAATAGTCTGAAAATTTGTCACAGCCATCATAAATCTCTCAATTTATTTTATGTAATTCATCAGGCATGATGGTAAATTATGTGGTTTTATATTTTGCTCCAGTATGAAAACTTGTATGTTTTATTAACTTAACAATACTGCATACATTATTTCAAAATATAATGTGCGTTGAAGTGATTGTGGGTTGAAAACAACCCTCCTGTAGCTCGGCTGCGGTTCATAGCTTCACTGTCGACTGAGCACTTGACGAGATGAGGACGGATTTGGTAGGCGGGGGCGCTCGGTGCTGTTGACAGGGCGGGAAGTTGTCTTCACATCTGCTGCTTTGAAAGCTTTAGTAGCAAACTGCCTGAGATGACAAAGTGTAGGAGGGACAGCAACTTCACCTTTTGCTACAAGTTAAGTGATGCAGCTGGAGATTATCTTGTAAAAGGAATGCCTGTGACGCAGGTTCTAAAACCGTTTCGCTGTTCTGGTGGGTTTTTTTTCCTGCTTGTCATGTGAGCTTTAGTGTGGACATATGTTCACTCGACACATTAAAGTCAGACGTGGTGGTTAACGTAACTAAAACCAGTGTGTCAAGGTTTTTTATTTATTTTTTATTTTTTATGGGGTGTTGACTGAAGCCGACATCAGCTTGATGCAAATAAAAGGCCAAACATGATTATTTTATTTTATTTTTTCTACATGGAATATTAGTTTATTCTGCCACTTTTTTTTTTTTAGAAATCTAAACCTAATGTGTTGATTGCTTTTGAGGCTTTAGTTTCAGTTTAAGTAAGAAAAAAAGAAGACATTTAAATTTGTCAGATTGTTGCTTTAATCTCTGCTGCATATCCTAAAAGCTCCAATTGGTGTGGGTTATAAAAACATGGACAAAGTTAACGATGTTCAGTCAGGTCGGTGGACGGTTTCTTTTGTTGCTGAGACGTTTCATCCTTCATCCGAAGAACTTCTTCAGTCTGAGGAGCCCACTAAACCAAACTGAATCCCAGAGTGGGAAAAAAGGTTTGCTGGTGATATTGAGCATGAACTTTGATGGACAAAGTTAGCTGTAGTTTTTTCTACGATCCATCAATGTTTGAATTGTTGCACTGAGTTTTCCTACAGTCTGTGACTGTTTTTTGTATAGTTTAATAGTTTAGCCTTTATCCCTATGCATGAAAAAAGCTCCTTGAACAGGAAGCAAAACATCTTCAATAAATGAGAAAAAAACAGTCCAGCTGTTTTGTTTAAAACTGTTGGGATATGCCATGTCCTAGTTGGTTGAAAATTTACACAAGTATTTGTATTTTTTAATATGACACATTTTAGACAATTTTCTGGGTTTCTTGGTATAAATTAAATTGGCTTTTGAAATACACATTTCCTATACATGCACAAATTGTGCAGGAAATTAATCTTCTTTTGGCTTTTCCCTCTTCAGGAGTCTCCATAGTGAGTCATTCTCCTCGAAATCACTCTGACCTCTTCATCCTCTGTCCTCACTCCAACTACCTCCATGTCCTCTCTAACTGCAACTATACACCTTCTCTTTGGCCTTCCTCTTTGTCTTTTTCCTGGCAGCTGCATTTCTAACATCCTTCTATCAATATACCCACTGTCCCTCCACTGGACATGTCTAAACCATCTCAGTCTGGCCTCTCTAACATTATCTCCCAGTTGTTCAACCTGTGCTGTACCTCTGATGATCTCATTACTAATCCTTTTCATTCCTAAGGAGAACCTAAACATCTTAATTTCTGCCATTGCCAGTTCTTTATCGTGTTTTTTTGTCAGTGCCACTGTCTCCAGACCATACAACATAGCTGGTCTCACCACTGTCTAGTAAACTTTTCCTTTGAACTTTGCTGCAACTTTTTTTTAATTGAAAATCACTCCTGAAACTTTTCTTCATCCACTCCATCCTTCCTAGACTCTCTTTTCACCACACTCCCCCATTTTCCTGGACAGCTGACCCTGCGTGCTTCAAGTCCTGCACCTTTGTGAGTCCACGGGGATTCCTGCCTGACCTCATCTGTTATTCAGCCCATCACCAGAGCAAACAAGAAGGGGCTCAGGACCGATCCTTGATGCACTCCCACCTCCACCTTGAAGGTATGTCACTCATACAGCACATCTCACCACTGTCCTGCTGTCTTCATACATGTCCTTTACCAGTCTAACATACTTCTCTTCCACTCCAGATTCCCTCATGCAACAGCATACCTCCTCCCTAAAATTTATCCTGTTTTTGCAGTTGCTCCTATATATTGTGCATAGGCTAGACTAGCATCAGCTTTGAAGACTTCAATTTAATACTGACATAATATAAATTAATGCTAGTTCATCTACATCTGTGGTTCTGATGGCTAAAGTAGTTGTCAGTACTAAAAGGAATAGGCATATTTTTCTTTTCATAAGCTACATGCAACATGACTTTACAGCTAGTACAATCAATGTGAGCTTGAGCCAAACTGAGCAAGTCTGTTATGCATACTTTCTCAACGTGGTTCTGATTTCAAAGATGTTCATGGCTTAGAATGACTTTTTGTTGGGTGGAAAGGTAGAGGACCCTTGATATTAACAAGCAACTATACATCACCGTTAAGCTGATAGTGATGCAATGTTTGAAATATCTGTAACACCTCCCCCAAAAAAGTCTCACTCCCAAAATAAAAAAATAAAAAAAAACAGAAGCTTTCCAGGCCTACTGACCTAATGGTGAAAGTTAAACACCATTTTTTTTTCTTTTCATTAACAACAAACCA